TCTTTGGGGGAGCTGATTTTTGTGTTTCGGCCTTAAGTTTCAGTTTTTTCGGCTTTGTTTTGTTTTATTGCTCGTTTTTTTTTCAGGCTGTGATTTTTGCTTATTGTTTTTTCGGGGCTTAATTCTTGCCCCGGACGAACTCCGAACGAACTTTGGCCTTAAGTTTTTTTTGGAGCTTAATTTTTTTTCGGTGTTGAACTTTTTGGGTTTTGGTCGTACAAAAACACTGGAATTACAGCTTGTTGATGCGTTTTTCGTACAAATTTAGTGTTACCAGGGCAAAGCACATATTGAAACAGGCTTAATCCAGGCTTTTCATGCAAGAAAACAGCTATTTCATACGACCAAAATCGGGCAAGCCATTACACAAATCGGGCAAACCCTTAAGTTCAACACCGGTGTTGAACTTAAGCTCTTTTTTTGGAAAAAGTATTTTTTCCCGGATTAAGCCTTGATCAAAAGGATTAAGCTTTGTTTCAGCTTCAACAGCGAGCCTCAGCGTCAACCAAGCTGCGTGATCACCCCGGTAGCGATTTTAGCCCTCCGCAGCTCTGAAGTCCTACAAATCCGGCTGAACGCCTTCCCAGGCCACTTGTTGAAACTGGCCCCTGTAATCACTTGGCCTCTTTTGGTAAGCCAGAAAAAAGGCAACAAAAACAGTTTAAACACCGCCAAAATACTTAGGCTCAAAAACATGCTTATGGCCAAAGTGTGTTCGGAGTTGGCTCGGGGGTTTGTTCGGAAATCAACCAATGACAAAGCTTGCTCGGAGCTTGTTCGCTTGTTCGGAGATTGTTCCGAGCTCGCCCGGAGTTCGTTCGGAGTTCGTTCGGAGTTTGTCCGGAGTTCGTTCGGAGTTCGTTCGGAGTTCGTTCGGAGCGTGTTCGGAGTTCGTTCGGAGTTTGTTCGTTCGGAGCTTGTTCGGAGTTGGTTCACGGGGAACCTGGGGCCTCTGAGAAACGCCTACCAAGAAAAACACGTTCTGCTCCGTATTATGTAGTGTGTGGCCAAAACCCTAAAAAATGTGCCCATGCAGGATTTGTTGCAGATCACTGCTTTCTTTGTGAAAACTCGCAATTGCCGCAAACGCAAGCCCAATCTGCCAAAATACGAGCAGAATTTGGGCTCCAACACAACGCATTTTGCTGCGTACAGAAGAGGCAAGTTATTCCCGAAAACAGTTCAAGCCCTTTCCTCTTGGCGGCCAAGACTCATTTCTGTTTAGATGCCCCCAAACCCCTTTCAGCAGGAGCGTCAAGCTGTCTTACCCCTAAGGCTTAGCGCGCAGAAACGGCGCGGTCCCCTGGGAAGCAAGCAAATTGATTCTTGATTCGAGGAAACTGGCATCAATAGTACACTTTGAGATTTGCTTCAAAATCTGGGCTTTTCTTTTTTTGGTTTTGGCAAACCCTTAAGTTTGAGTAAAAAACCCTTATTCTTTTTTAGCACCTTAAAACACCCAAATCCCGAACGAACTGACCTGACCCATGAAATTTGGCAGTTAGTTCAATGGCACTGCTTTCCGAGTCCAAAGATGAACAAGAGGCAGACAGGTGACCGAGGGGTTCATGCCAACACCTACGACTGATTTTTGGACAGAACTTTGGACACGGGAAGAAGGTAAAGCTCGTTGGAGTGTTGTCTTGGTTTCCCTTGCTCGGATTTCTGCCCCTTGCATCCCATCCGGGGTTTCGGAATGACTCAGTTGCCCAGGGTTCCGTTTAGAACCACCCAACCACGAAAATTCCTGGGCCCCGGGCTGCAAGAAAGGGCCGGGCTGGCTGATGGCTGTCAGGTGCCCTTGCAGAGGTGCGGCCTGGTGTTGGGCACCTGGCTTCTGGGGCCCGAGCTGGACGGAAGGGGCCGAAGGGGCAGGCGATCCTGATGGAGTCTCCATGACCCTTAAAAAATGGGTCCATGACCCCAGTATTTTGGGTAATCACCAACCATTTTGTAAGGGTCATGGAGACTCCAGGTATGTCCTTTTTGCTTGGCTGATCACCTTTCGAGCCACTTGACAGTGGGAGAGCTTCCCAATTTAGGCGATGATGGCTTTTGGTCCGTGTGTATTCTCTGCTCCTGGAACCTATTGTCGAATAGCCCAAAGGTGTAATGTCCGGGGACTTCTAGTCGCTGGACTTCGATTTCTTTTCAACCAGCAGCATCATGCATGCTTGTTTGGTTTGGCAGGGGGGTTGTCTGCCTTTTTGGGGGGAGATGGGGGGAGACCCCCTAAAACGGAGCTGTTTCTTCTGTTGGTTTCCCTTTAAACCCACCCCTTTGAGGGTACACCCCTACCCCGGACTTGCGTTCAGGACTTCAGGACCTTGCCGGAGGTGGGCATACCAAACGGCGCCGGGATCGTTCTGGTTTCCTTCATGAAGGACGGCGCAAAGGGCGGATCTGGGGTCCGGGCTCTGGGTTGTTTTTCCTTTACCACTGAAAGGGGCGGGTTGGGGGGGACTTTGATGATGGTGAAAGAATGAGGCCAGTAGAAACAAACCAGGACCCCACCGGGCGTCCCCATGGGTTGAGGCATTCTTTGGCCACAGTTTATGTGTGGGCAAACATCGGCCTCAACAAGGCTGATACGGCTCACGTTGTTTTGGGTTGTCTTTGGGGTCTGGGGTGGTAGGGAAAACTATTGTTTTTTTTGGCAGCAAGGGCGGGTGGCACGGGGCGCCTTCTATTTGGGCCCACGCCCCCTCCATATTCGCAACACATTCTCAGTTTTACTGGCCAACAAATTGGTTTTCCCCACGCAAAACCAAGCCAGTTCAGTCATCAACGTTTGAGTTTCAGATTGTTTGGACATGCCAGCATGAGATGAACCATATAGACCTGTATCAGCCTGTATCTGTATTTGAGCAGAAACAAAAAGTGCGCACAATGGAAAAGCAAAAAAAACACACGCAAAGTTCCAAAGCAAATGCGCAAAGGGGGGGTGATAGGCGGCACTTGCGTCGCGTGCCATATGTGCAGCAAAATGCTTATCTGAACCAAGCCTGGGTTGAGACATAAGCAGAGCTAGTTAAGATGCAGACGTAAGAGACATCAACAAACAGCTGCGCCAGCGGAGGAACGAGTAGCTCAGATTCGATTGTTTCCATAAGCGGTACCAAATTTGGCTAGCTGAGTACTTTCATCCGAAAAGTGCGCAAATCCCCCAACAGTGTGCAAAATCAAAAAAAGCCCGCACACAAAACGCGCAAAAACACATTTGAGCAGAAAACAAGTTGTGCAAACAAAGATACAGGGATTACTTGTTGGATTCAGGCCGTACCAACAGGCATGGCATGTTAGCAAATTTCAGTGAGGGACTGACTGCCTTCCAAACATTGTGCCTTGCGCCTCAATATGTTTTTCACAACTCCTCGCATGGCGATTCGGCCGCGATTCGCCGGCGCTTCGGCGCTTCGGCGCTTGCAGCGTTCACGCGCGCAAGAAGCGGCACAGGATGTACATCGCAGCCTGGGGTGGGAGGACGCCTTCTCCTTCTTCCGGCGCACCGCTCAGAGCTATAGGCGGGCAAATGGACTGAGGGAACTTCACTGTTGTTGGATCATTTTTTCCCCCCCAACAGCTGAAAGCTTTGGGGTCTCAGCCCAGATAGGTTCCACGAGGGTTCCACCAGGGTTCCGCCAGGGTTCTACCAGGGTTCCACTAGGGTTCACCAGCGTTCCACGAGGCGGGGCACCAAAAAGAGCCCCGCATGCTGTTGGGGATATCACCTGAGCTGTTTCTTCTTTTTTATTTTTTCCGGGGGGGTGGTCTGTTCATTTTTAATGTTGACCCCGTATTAGTCTGTAACTTCCTCCCTTGAAGGTTGGAAGGTTTTGGGGGGCAAGATTTTGAAGCGTTTTTGCCATGACCCCAAACAATCTGGAATTGAGTTTCATTGATCTAGTATTGCTGGGGCTTCCTTTCTTGAGATTCGGAATTGAGTTTCAATTGATTTAGTATTGCTGGGGCTTCCTTTTGAGATCTGGAATTGAGTTTCCATTTGATTTAGTATTGCTGGGGCTTCCTTTTGAGATCTGGAATTGAGTTTCCATTTGATTTAGTATTGCTGGGGCTTCCTTTTGGGGCTTCCTTTTGAGATCTGGAATTGAGTTTCCATTTGATTTAGTATTGCTGGGGCTTCCTTTTGAGATCTGGAATTGAGTTTCCATTTGATTTAGTATTGCTGGGGCTTCCTTTTGAGATCTGGAATTGATAAGCATGGCCCCCCCAATGGGATTCCATGAACTTTGATGAGGTTTCCATTGAGATTGAGTCACTTTTCCATCAGATTCCATGAAATTTGATGAGGTTCCCATTGAGATTGAGTCACTTTTCCATCAGGTTTGCATGGCCACCCCAATGGGATTCCATGAAATTTGATGAGGTTTCCATTGAGATTGAGTCACTTTTCCATCAGGTTTGCATGCCACCCCAATGGGATTCCATGAAATTTGATGAGGTTTCCATTGAGATTGAGTCACTTTTCCATCAGGTTTGCATGCCACCCCAATGGGATTCCATGAAATTTGATGAGGTTTCCATTGGGATTGAGTGATATTAGGCTCGAATCTGGCTGATTAGGCAGGCATGGTCCAGCAATGGCATCTGGAACATCAAGCTCATCAGGCCTAGGCTCATGGGAGGAATTGTCAGTATCAGCTCTATCAGCTCACAATGAGGGGCTGGAATCAGATGAGGACCTGGCATCACTTGGGCATGACTCTGCATATTGGGCCAACATGTACACAGGATTGGTCCATATTGGGAGGATGGAGAGGCCATTACAAGCTGAGGTCATTAATATCATTGGCAGGTTTGTTGGCCTATCCAGAGCTGATACATGGTGGGCATTGCCATTGGGTGGCATCACATGTCAGTTCTGCTCTCTGGCCAATGGTGGATATTCAGATACATGGACCATGATGGGCTGGCTCATTGCTTTTGCAGATGAGGCAGTGAGATGATGATTGGCCACAATGAGACTGTCTTCATTGAGA